AAATTATTCATGTAGTTTTAAAACACAATAGAATTTTCAGTCAGGCTGAACTTTTGTGCACTTCCTCATTTATTCGAGAAACCCCACCATTAATGTATTTAGACCTTAACATGATGGCTTTGAGTCTTAAATCACTGTCCACCTAAAATAATATACCAAATAAAGATTTTAAAAGTGCTGCATATGGTTTCTGTAAGAGGTATATAAGTTAATTAGATTACCAGAATTACCCTTTAGCTTCAAAAGTAAAACTCATGGTCAGGATTTTACTGATAGTATAGGAAGAAAAAAAAACCACTGCTGAAAAATAAATGAAAAAATTTTTATTGAGTATTACTTTATACAGGCAAATTAAAAGTGAATCTATATTAAGCTGACTATTCCACAATAAAAACCTATACAATGGGAATAATCAAAGCTGTCTACACAATACTAATGTGTTCAATAAATTATCCAGATGTTTTTCTGCAAATATTTGGATTACCTGATTAGCTGATTCTTCAACAAAAGTTAAATTTTAGCTTTAATATGGTAGCAGCAGAATGCTACTTAAATTTAGAAGAAAAACATAAGAATAAAAACCCTGAATAGCACAGCCAAATCTTCCAAGAAATAAGTTCACCAAAAAAGTAACATACACCTATTTGGTATCCAGAGGAGGAAACAAAACACAGGCACTTAATCAACATTCACCAAGTGATCATCACTAACATTCTATTATTACCAGAGCAACTGTCAATATGTGAACTGTAGATCAGAACAGACTTACATATCTAAAAACAAACCAGTAATCAATAATATATACAGAAATATTAACTTGAAGTCACATTTAAATACCATCAAGTTTGGTGTATCTGATATAGACTGACTTCATTTCATCACTGCTATAAATTCCTTAAAAGTGTTCTTTTCCTAATGTAACATTATCTTTAAAAAATGGCAAGACATTTCCCAATATGCATCAGTTCTTTCACTCCACCATTCAGTAAATGTTGCAGCAAATTAAACAGAACCTGTTAACTAGATCTAAAAACAATGGCTGCATAATTAACACAAAGAAGTACTTTTGAGTAAACTATTCAGATTAGAGAGGCTAATGCTAACTAAGACTGCATTTTCTGCTACTGACATGCACTATATAGATCATACACTAAGATGGAAGGTTGGTCCATGTCCATTTATTTAAAGATTCTGTAACACCTATAATAGTATTTAATACAGCTCCCACAAACAATATTCCTCTCACATAGATGTAGTTATTTTTAGTGGGGATAAGGATATGACACATGCTACGAGATTCTAGCTAAGAAAATAAAAACAATATGGGCTCAGGTTTTCTTAGCAAGTTTTTGAACTGGGAAACAACCAACTTCCATATATCCAGGAGAAACTTAGCATGGGGCAACGTGCCTTAGTTGATGTGCCTGATAAGCAAACTGTTAGTTGTCTCTTAGTATTGTTTTCAGCTTAATGTAACAACAAAAGAAAGGTGTCACACTACTTCTCAGATAGTAACAACTGCAATCTTAGATTGTAATTGGGATTACAATTACAATCCCATGGGATATCCTTTATTAATGAAAGCACAGTTCCAATGCAAAAGTCAAGCTTTATGGTTACGTATCAGGATAGGTTCAGACCCAATATGACCATGTTTAGCACTAACTTTTAACATGTTAAAGTTCTGATTCCTGAATGTTTTTCTCACTTAATATATTCCCTCCAATGACAAGTTGTTGTGTTTGGCTTCTTATGCTGAAAATATATGCCTGAATCCTATAACAAGTTATTAACAGTATCATGAATAGTTATTAAATAAGTGCCAGCACTGCATGGAACTTACTGTCACCGACTCAGAACCATACAACTACATACATATGCACAAAAAAAAAAATCCCAAAGAGACCTATCATTGTACATATGAATACTGTCCAGGGTATCAGATCAATTATCAAATCCAAGGTCTCTGCTGTTTTATCTTACGGTGTTGAATATATGAATGCTTCCCTATTACACTGACTTTTCTGTATTATTTTCAAGAAATTATTAACTGGATTCAAAATCTTACACTTTTATTTCTAATTATAAAATCCAGATTAATCCAGAAAACACAAACCACACGTAACCGAGGTAGGTTTTTCACCTTAAGAATACATTGATTCTACCACAATTTAAAATTTTAAACATTGAAGAAAAAAAAAAAAAAGACTACATTGCTCCATATACCTGCCTCTGGTACTTAATTTTCCGCATTTGAAACTACTTGAACAAGTGTGACAGTGCTAATCTACTATATTTAGTAAATCCCTTAGTACCTACAAATACACACCCAAAAGCCCTTTCCCCCTTCTCTAATGTTAACTGTTGTATAATAAAATTGCCAACAACTCTAGAAAGATGAAATAAAGATTACTGTAGCAATCTTCAATTAATTCATTTCAGAAATCAAGGAAGTCATGTTCATTTTAAATATGACAAACTTACTATTTTGAAAATGAGCTCATAAACACATTAGAACTTTGAATGTGCTTTATTATGCCACAAATTCCCAGGAGATTTAAGAAATAGTATTTCTGAACAGGAATAATAATTTCACAAATACTATCACTTTATTGACAATAGACAAGTCTTTTAGGGTAGTGCACATGTACTTAACATCTACCTTCTAACAATCTCAACACTTCTTATAAATTTTCAGGGGAAACTGCAGCAGAGCCTACTTTATTTTTCAATGGTTAGTGTAAAACTCTGTATGTAAAATAAATACGTATTTTAAGGAGATGGGAGAAGGACTGCATGTGAAATGCTTTGCCTAAGTTGTAAGGCTCTTGTCTTTACACTATCATTATGTTAACAAGGCCAAAATAAATCACTGCTAGAAATGTTCTCCCCAAAATTCTTAAACAGCTCAGTCTTCAAAAGTATTTAATAATTTTTTTTTTCTTTTGTGAGACAGAGTTTCACTCTTGTTGCCCAGGCTGGAGTGCAATGGTGCAATCTCAGCTCACCAAAACCTCCACCTCCTGGGTTTTCAAGCGATTCTCCTGCCTCAGCCTCCCAAGTAGCCGGGACTACAGGCATGCGCCACCACACCCGGCTAATTTTGTATTTTTAGTAGAGTCAGGGTTTCTCCATGTTGGTCAAGCTGGTCTCGAACTCCCAACCTCTGGTGATCCGCCCACCTCGGCCTCCCAAAGTGCTGGGATTACAGGCGTGAGCCGTTGCGCCCAGCCTAATTGATATAATTTTTTAAAGTGAAATGAAGTGTTCCTTTATTTACACATGAATTAAATAGAAAATTCAAAGTAATTTTTTAAATAAAACCCCACATACTAATACATTTTAAGGTTGGATACTAACAGCATTTTCACAAGATCCAAAGTGTGGATGAGGAACTAGGAAATAAGGACATGTGTGGCACATAACTAAGGGTAACTAAAGAAAGGTGAGTACCTCACAACCAAAAGCAGCTAACTATGCCTGGCATACCACCCTATCATGTGGGCAGCAGATCACTGTTCCCATGCTAGGAAAGAGCCTCCAAGAAGGGAAGCCCTTATGCAGTAATTCTGCAACTATATTAAATTTGGTAATTTAACATTAAACTTTTTCGTGAGCAGTGAATACATACATGGTCATATAAAAACCGCCCTGGAGACCAGGTTAATTATTAAATAAACTAAAAGGGGAGAAATGCTGGTAGATAGAATTATGTCAGTTCCAGGGTTTTCAATGGAATAAAGAAACAGCAGCAGCTGTTTCAAAACTAGGCTATGATCAGAAACCTCTGGAGCCCAGAGTCTAAAGCTAAACCTACATAGGCGCTACAGCCAGGGAGTTCTTTCTTTAAGTTCCTCAAGTGAGTCTGATGATCGGCCAAGCTCAAAACTTCTGAATTGGGGAAGGGAGAAAGCCAACCTAGGTAAATGTAGAGACTTTTAGAATTCAACATTTGGGCCAGGCGCGGTGGCTCACGCCTGTGATCCCAGCACTTGGGGAGGCCAAGGCGGGTGGATCACAAGGTCAGGAGATCGAGATCATCCTGGCTAACACGGTAAAACCCCGTCTCTACTAAAAATAAGAGAAATTAGCCGGGCGTGGTGACGGGTGCCTGTAGTCGCAGCGACTCGGGAGGCTGAGGCAGGAGAATGGCATGAACCCAGGAGGCGGAGCTTGCAGTTAGCCAAGATCATGCCACTATACTGCAGCCTGGGCAACAGAGTGAGACTCCGTCTCCAAAAAAAAAAAAATTCAACATTTGATACTTATCATTTACTCCACATTTTCCCCCAGCTGTCTCACCTTCTCTATTTTTCTAACAGTGAATAATAAAAGGGCTTGGCAAGTGAAGGAAAAAGTCAGTAGAGTACCCAAAATGGATTTGACTATACTCAAACCACTTTCACATATTAACTAGATAAAAGGATATCATACTGCTATTTGAAATTCAATCATTGAGCAAAAATGTCATAATGTCAATGTATTTTAAGGGAGGGGGGAGTTCTTAACATGAAAATGTAATATAAAAACAATTCTAATAATAATATTTAATACAAGAGAAAATTTGTATAATTCTTTAGAAGTAATTCTGTTTTTAAAATTTCAATGCTAGGAAGAAAATTCCTTAAAATTGAAATAGGGGAATATTCTCTCATATGAAAAAACTGTGTCACAGTGTTATTCTTCAACTTAGAAATCAGGCAAAGTATTTTAGTACTATTTCTCCTTACATATTGTTTCGTATAAATGTTTTAAGTATGAATGACATTTTGGTTTTTATTTTAGTGTGCATGCTAATATAATAAAAATATGGATTTTTTTCTCCTACACTGACTTCATACACTTTCCAGGCCTGAAGAACAAACAACTTTTAAAATATCCTATGTTCACTTGCAAACCTTAGAACAATTAAAAAAAAAAGTAGTACCTACATAAGAAATTTTACATTAAAATTACAATTGTATGTTTTTCAGGAGTTAAAGTGATTCAATTTTTCAATATTCAAACATAAAATAGTAAATTTTTATTTACTATAGCGCAATTCAAGTATTCTCTTAAATTTATATTTAATCGACTAGAACATGACAGTGACTTTATAAGAGCTTTCCTTTTAAAAGGTTGCTGTTACACAAAAGTATGACTCTATTACTCTAAATGCTTAGAATAAGTGGAAAGAAATGACAGTAGACAAAAACCTTTATGAGTGAGTCATCAACACATAAAAGGTTGCACACATCAGTAATAAGGCATGTGTAGGTAATATCCCAAAAGTATTTAAACTCATGTAAACAAAGACTATGTATATTCCTAAGGGAGAAAAGGTACTACCAAAGATGAAATATATTCAAATGGCTGTGACTTTAAACCATGTATTAGTTGAATACCACACAAAACCAAAAAGGTATTATCTATCATTTAATAACTGAAAGATATTACTTATTTGTGAGATAAAAGGTTGATGCTTTTTTTAAAACCAATAATGAAAAAGAAGTATTTTGAAAACAAACATCCATTTTCTAGAAATAAATATACATGCTTAGTTATTTTAATGTATTGCAGCATAGGAATATTGTGCTAGCATTGACCATAACATTCAATCAGTAGTTTAAAATATTTTTTCCACACTGAGTCTTGAATCTTCTACCTGGTCAGCTGACCAACAACTTTCAAAAGAGTTTTATTTTCCTGCTTGAGCTGTTCATTTTCATCTTCTATGTCATCTAGGTCCTTAAGAAAAAAAAAAAGATACTTTAAAAATACTTAAAAATATTTGACAAGAGATGAAAACACTTAATATACATTCAAAAATAATTCATACAACCAATTAATTTGGAAATGAGGGTAAGCTCTGAAAACAACTTTAGATGTAATATGTCCCACCAAAAATGAGCATCCATTACTTAAATCTTCATTCTTATAACAAGTCTATAGGCCAACTCTTAAAGATCTTTCAGTTTTTCTAAGGAAGCCAAAAGTCAGAACTTTAAAATTGTGAATCTTCCAATTTTCAATCATCATAAATAAGTTAGTTTTTTAGCTAAACAAACTCCACTTCCCTTCCCTAAAACTGAGGCAAAAAAAAAAAACTATCCATGCAAGCCATATGTGGTATTGAGCCCTAGGTTGCAACCTTGTATCAAATTGGGCATCAAAAGGTGCAGGTACAAGTTCTAGATGCACTCCTACCACTTTGTCTGATCTTTAAAGGTGTACAATGGGGAAAACACTCTGGGGAGGCGACAAAACTGAGGCCTACAAAAAAGGGGATCTGGAGTATAGAGAGTTGATCTGGATCAATTTATATGTTGGACTTTTCTACGACATTTTGAAGCAAAGGTTTTAGCGCTAAAAATAACTCAAAGCCACTAAATTAAGTATTCGCTCTCCAGCTTTAAAAGCATATGATCCACCTCTTTTTTCCCTGTATTAATCCTTGTCCCAAATACACAACCATCTGGTTAAAAAAAATTCACCATAAGTTTTAGTTACAAGAAATGTTATTTCAAGACAGACTCTTTACTGTTAAAAAAGCAGACATTTTTAGATTTATTCTTGCAGTTTAAAGTTTGATGTAATCAATTTGAATCACTGCTATAGTATAAAAGCTTTCTAATACATTTAATATATTGCCTTTGGATAATTAGGTAAATTATTTTAAAATTTACAAGATCAGAATTTGCATTTATTTACAAACTAAATGAATAATGTTGGGAAACATTTGTTTACACAATAAAAAATATGGGATTTCTAAAATTACCACAGTTGAAATCTACCTAAAATTTAGAATTAAATGATAAAACATATTCATGTACCATTATTAGATTATAAACTCTATGAAGGCAGGGGTTTTATTATTCTTAAGGCCCACAGTGCCTAAGACAGTTCAAACCCATCAAGGGCATCAAAAATATTTGCAGAAACAGGTTGGGCGTGGTGGCTCACACCTGTAATCCCAGCACTTTGGGAGGCTGAGGCAGGCGGATCTCTTGAGGTCAGGAGTTCAAGACCAGCCTGGCCAACATGCTGAAACCCCATCTCTACTAAAAATACAAAAAATAGCCGGGCGCGGTGGCTCAAGCCTGTAATCCCAGCACTTTGGGAGGCCGAGACGGGTGGATCACGAGGTCAGGAGATCGAGACCATCCTGGCTAACACGGTGAAACCCCGTCTCTACTAAAAACACAAAAAAAACTAGCTGGGCGAGGTGGCGGGCGCCTGTAGTCCTCGCTACTCGGGAGGCTGAGGCAGGAGAATGGCGTAAACCCGGGAGGCGGAGCTTGCAGTGAGCTGAGATCCGGCCACTGCACTCCAGCCCGGGCGACAGAGCAAGACTCCGTCTCAAAAAAAAAAAAAAATACAAAAAATACAAAAAATAGCCAGGTGTGGTGGCTCATGCCTGTAATTGCAGCTACTCAGGAGGCTGAGGCAGAAGAATCACCTGAACCCAGGAGGCGGAGGTTGCAGTTAGCCAAGATTGCGCCACTGCACTCCGGCCTGAGCAACAGAATAATGTAATCAAAAAAAAAAAAAACCTTTTCCTGTCTGCCTATACACCCCAAAGAAAATAAATCCTTCTATCAAAAAGACATATGCATGTGTATGTTCACTGCTGTGCCATTCACAACATCAAAGACATGGAATCAACCCAAGTGTGGTACATATATGTCATGGCATACTATAAAGCAAAAATAATAATAATAAATATTTGTGGAAACAGATAACCTACAGAATGGGAGAAGATACTCACGAACTATGCATCCGAAAAAGGTCTAATATCCAGAATCAACAAGGAACTTAAATCAACAAGCAAAACACTATACTATCCCATTAAAAAAGGGCAAAGGACATAACAGACACTTCTTAAAAGAAGACATATGGCATGGTGTATGTAATCCCTCACACCTGTAATCCTAGCACTTTGGGAGGCTAAGTCGAGCAGATCACTTGAGGTCAGACCAGCCAGGCCAACACATGGTGAAACCCCATCTCCACTAAAAATACAAAAATTAGATGGCCGTGGTGGCACATGCTTGTAATACCAGCTACTTGGGAGGCGCTAAGGCAGGAGGATCGCTTGAACTCAGGAGGCAGAGGTTGCAGTGAGCTGAGATTACTCCACTGCACTCCAGCCTGGGTGATAGAGGAAGACTCTGTCTCAAAAAACAAAAACAAAACAAAAACACAAAACAAAAAGAAGACATACAAGCGGCCAAGAAACATGAAAAAATACTCAGTATCACTAACCAGAGAAATGCAAGTCAAAATCACGAGATACCAACTCACAGCAGTTGTGACGGTTAATATGAAGTGTCAACTTGATTAGCCAGTCAAAAATTGCTATTAGTAAAAAGTTAAAAGACAACAGATGCTGGTGAGGCTGCAGAGAAAAGGGAATGCTTATACACCGTGGTGGGAATATAAATTAGTCCAGCCACCGTAACAAGCAGTTTGGAGATTTTTCAAAGAACTTAAAACAGAACTATCATTAGACCCAGCAATCCCATTACTGTCTATATACCAAAAGAAAATAAATCTTTCTATCAAAAAGACATATGAATGTGTATGTTCACTGCTGCACCATTCACAATATCAAAGACATGTAATCAACCCAAGTGTCCATCAACAGTAGATTAAATGAAGAAAATGTGGTACATATATGTCATGGCATAGTATAAAGCCACAAAAAATAATGAAATCATGTCCTCTGCAGCAACATGGATAGAGGTGGAGGCCAGAATCCTAAGCAAATTAACTCAAAAACAGGAAACCAAATACTGCATGTTCTCACTCGTAAGCGGGAGCTTACGAGTGAAAGCTTACACTGAGCACACATGGATATAAATATGGGAACAATAGACACTGTGGACTACTAAAGGGCAGAGGAAGGTGGCATAGGTTAAAAAAAGTTACCTGTCAGGTATTATGCTCACTACCAGGGTGATGGGATCTGTATTCCAAACCTCATAATCACACAATACTCCCATGTAACAAATCTGCACATGTACCCCCTGTATCTAAAATACAAAGTGAACTTTTTTTTTAATTTAACATTTTTAAATTTTTTTAATTTAGAATTTCTTAGATCAAATTCTAACACCAATATAGGAGTACTTGTATTTTGAGATGGGAGTCTCGCACTTTTGTCCAGGCTGGAGTGGAGTGATGTGTCTTGGTTCACTGCAAGCTCTGCCTCTCGGGTTCACGCCATTCTTCTGCCTCAGCCTCCCGAGTAGCTGGGACTAGAGGCGCCCATCACCACGCCCGGCTAATTTTCTGTATTTTCAGTGGAGACGGGATTTCACCGTGTTAGCCAGGATGCTCTTGATCTCCTGACCTCATGATCCGCCCAACTCAGCCTTCCAAAGTGCTGTGATTACAGGCGTGAGCCACCACGCCCAGCCATAGGAGTACTTGTATTGGAACCAAAGATGAAAAGCAGTCTACAAAAAGTAGAAAGACTTAAAATACCTGAAGTCAAATACTGGCTCAGCTGATTACTCTATATGACTTTGAGCAAGTTAAATTCTGAGTTCCACTGTCCTCATATACAACCTATAGTTAATGCCTCAGAGCTTTATTAGAACAAGTCGGCATATGATGAAGCCTCTCTCTTTTTTCTCCTTTCATGGTTGGAGTTGAGACTGGATAGTGGATTTGCTACAGTTTTCCCTGAAGCAGACTTATTCTTTCCTCAATCTTAGCCAAAAGCCTTCTAAAAGGCAAAATTATGGAGTCTCTTCTCATCACTGTTACCTAATAAGCAATTACAACTGCTTCTAGCAAATAAATTCTGGGGCTGAAAACAAAAAGGAGAGTTAGCTACAAAGAATACAGGGCTAAGGCTAAACCTAAAGTTGGGGATGCATTAAGTACAAATGGAGAAAAAAAGTGAAGATACACAGACATCTGGAATTTCTTATAGTGATAAAGTACCAATTTTAGGGCCAGGCACAGTGGTTCACGCCTGTAATCCCAACACTTTGGGAGGCCGAAGAAGGCAGATCACTAGAGGTCAGGAGTTCGAGACCAGCCTGGCCAACATGGTGAAACCCCATCTCTCCTAAAAATACAAAAATTAGCCAGGAGTGGTGGCACGTGCCTGTAGTCCCAGCTACTCGGGAGGCTGAAGTAGGAGAATCGCTTGAACCCGGGAGGTGGGGGCTACAGTGAGCTGAGATCGCACCACTGAACTCCAGCCTGGGCAACAGAGAGAGACTCCATCTCAAAATAAATAAATAAATAAATAAATAAATAATAACAATAACAATAATAATAATAAAGAGTACCAATTTTACTTTTTTTTTTTTTTGGTGGGGGGACAGAGTCTTACTCTTGTTACCCAGGCTGGAGTGCGGTGGCACAATCTTGGCTCACCGCAACATCCGCCTCCCGGGATCAAGCGATACTCCTGCCTCAACCTTCTGAGTAGTTGAGATTACAGGTGCCCACCGCCATGCCCAGCTAATTTTTCGTATTTTTAGTAGAGTTGCGGTTTCACCATGTTGACCAGGCTGGTCTCAAACTCCTGGCCTCAGGTGATCTGCCCTCCACAGCCTCCCAAAGTGCTGAGATTACAGGTGTGAGCCACCGTGCCTGGCCTATTTTAGTTATTTCTTGAGGCAACTCTCTGCCATTTCTCTTATGTTTGTGGTGGTGACAAAGCGCCTGTCACCTCCAGACTTTAACAAAACACAGAACAAATCCATAAATCAGTCTACCTCCAAAAGAATAAAATTAAGTGAGCTAAACTGGTAACTGCCCAAAGGAAATCAGTTTTTGGAAGAAAATGATACTTCTTACTATTATTTCACTAACAAAAGAACAAAGTGAATAATGCAATTAATAATTTCTTCATATTTATATATTTTCATCGAATTGAAAAAAAAAAAAACCCCTCCAAACCTGAAATATGGTGAAATACTTACTCTATTTAATAAATCAATTTCTTCTTTGAGTTTTCCAATCATTTCCTCTTTATCTTGCATCAGTCTCACAAGTCTTAGGTTTTCTTGTCTTTCTCGTACTACTTCCTGGTAGACACAATTTAAAAAACAGTAATTAGGAAGTAATTGGTTATTTATAATATTTCTAAATGGCATATATCTGCCAAGTTTGGTAAAATATCTTACATACATGAAGATTTCCAATGAATTCCTTAAAATATTTGGTGAAGGAACAAAGATTCCACCACAAAAGGAGAATGAGGGGAATACAGGAGCTGTTAGGATGCTCCTGGGTAAAGCTATGTTTATACAAGTCTTTAACAAAACTAATGTAACAGACTCAATGATTTAACTTCATGTGAGTGTGTATGTATGTGTGACAGTGTTTCGCTCTTGTCACCTAGGCTGGAGTGCAATGGCACTATCTCGGCTCACTGCAACCTCTGCCTCCTGGGATCAAGCAATTCTCCTGCCTCAGCCTCCCAAGTAGCTGGAATTACAGGTGCATGCCACCATGCCTGGGTAATTTTCATGTTTTTAGTAGAGATGGGGTTTTACCATGTTGGCCAGGCTGGTCTTGAAATCCTGACCTCAAGTGATCTGCCTGCCTCAGCCTCCCAAAATGCTGGGATTACAGGCGTGAGGCACCGTGCCCGACCTGTGATTTAACTTCTTTAGCTTATCACCACTGTAAGTTATGAACTACCTTATTCTTTAATGGGTATCTTGTTTGAAATAATTCAAAATTAATTTTTATTAAAAATACAAAGTTTAAGAAAAGGAGATGGCCCAATAGAAATTCTAAACAGAAAAACAATTATCCTAGTTTTACTTCTGGCTCTGCCAGTTAACTGATAATGGATAAAAAGAAGGAACTAAAGTAGATTACTGACTTTTAATTTTTTTTTCTTTAAACAATGCAATACCTTTTGCAAAGAAATCTTATTTAGAATCCAAGGCATTGGACTTGCTCAGCCACCTTGGGGGCAAAAGGGAAGCAGAGCTCAAAAGGCCTTGCCCAGAACTTGGCTTCTTTCCTACTAAACCTCCTAGAGAGCAATCAACCATCCATATCCCTTAGCTGCTGCCAACTACTAGCAATTCAATCCAAACTCTTGTGGAACTCCCTTCAAAACCAATAGATTGCATATTACTAAAGTTTTTAATTTAAAATTATGAAATAACAGGCTGGGCAGAGTGGCTCCCACCTGTAATTCCAGCACTTTAGGAAGCTGAGGCGGATGTATCACCTGAGGTTAGGAATTCAAGACCAGCCTTACCAACATGGTGAAACTCTGTCTCTACTAAAATTACAAAAAAAATTAGCCGGGCATGGTGGTGCATGCCTGTAATCCCAGCTACTTGGGAGGCTGAGGCAGAAGAATCGCTTGAACCTAGGAAGTGGAGGTTGCAGTGAGCCAAGACTGCGCCATTGTACTCCAGCCTGGGTGACAAGAGCGAAACTCTGTGTCAAAACTAAATAGATAAATAAAAATAAATAAAATTATGGAATAACAAGTCCAAGAAGAAACTGTTGTTAAAGCTTAGAAATGTGACCTCAAAATAATCATAAATGTTATAAAATAGAAACAAGTTTTAAAAATGAAATTTCTCTATATAACATATAAATGAGATCTTTAATAATATAGAGAATAATCTCAAGTAAAACAAAACACATTTTCAACAATTACAAAAGTATTCAACACCATTGCTAATTTTAGGGGTTGAATGTCAGTGGCACAAACCTGAGACCCTACAGTTAATAAATTTATGCCAATAGTCATCTGACTTGTACAGAAAGACATTTTTAAACAGGCATATTCTTACACAAAATTGTTTCAAACATCAAAGATGGACCTAATTCAGATTTACTCCTGTAATTTCTAAAGTGACAAATGAAAATCTATTCAGACAATATAATAAATACACAGTAGTATATATTTGCCAGCTCAGGCTTCTAACCACTTCAAAAACAAAGACTTTTAATATATTAAAGGTAACACTTGGCAGAATAGAAGCGCACATATTAAATATTAAGGAATATTATTTCCTTTCTCGTTCAGCTGCTATGAAACAAAAGAATTCTAATGGTATATTAATTTTATCAATCTTAACTAACTTATAATCCATACCTTTTCAAGATCTTCAATTTTCTTTTCCAGTGTGCTACTTGAAACCAGATTACCTGAAACATTTGCATCCCTGTTGTATCTAGGGAACCCACTTCTATCTGTTCGAGAATATCTACTTGAGACATCTTCTTCAGAGACACTGGTTGTGCTGTGGAAATATAAACATTTTATTAAGATCCCTAGTATTCAGTAAGAAAAACACCAAGAATATTTTCTATTCAGCTTAAAAAAATTAACATTCCCCAAGGACATATGGCTATAGTAGCAACTTATTTGTAACTGTAGAAGTTAATCATTATTCCAACACAATGAAAAAGTGTAAAAGTAGCATTAATTCTTTCAACCATCATCTACTGAGTAGGTGTTAAGTAATGACTGAGTAGGTGTTAAGTAATGAACACTGTTCTGGATACTGAAGACGTAACAGCGAACACAAACATGGACTCTGCCCTTGATAGAGCTTTCGGTTAAAAGGGAATATAACTAATAATAAATAAAGCAACATGATCAGTAAAACAAGGTCAGTGATGGATATTATGAGAACTATGATAGCACAGATCTCCCAGATTTTTTTGAGATGGGGTCTCACTCTTGTCACCCAGACTGGAGTGCAGTGGTGCAATCACAGCTCACCACAGCTTTGACTTCCTGGGCTCAAGCGATCCTCCCACCTCAGCTTCCTGAGTAGTTGGGACTACAGGTATGTGGCCACCACACCAGGTAAATTATTTTGTATTTTTTTCCCAGAGACGGGGTTTCACCATGTTGCCCAGACTGGTCTCAAACTCTTGGCCTCAAGCAATCCACCGACCTTGGCCTCCCAAAGTGCTAGGATTACAGGAGTGAGCACTGCGCCTGGCCTAGATCTCCCAGACTATCTGTGTTGAAAAACCACTTTCCTTCTTCAAAATTCCAATCTTTCATGGACCAACACTTTTAAAAAGTAAAATTAAAATGAACTGCTGGAAAAGTAAAAGTTAAAAAGGTCATAAGTCCAAATGTTTCATTAGATTCAGACCCACAAAATTATAAATAGAAAAAAAGAAAAGAATTACACAAAGTGGCAAATTCTCCACTGTAAGTATGCATACAGGCAATTAATACAGAAAATTGCTACCACACTGATAATTTTGCCATGCTATAATTTTAATTTAATCAAAAGTTGTAAGTAAAACAGCGATTCCTTAAACACCAATTCATGCCCTCTGAACAGCACATATGTCAGTATTTAAAGTTTTTAAAGTAACAAATGAGTTTGCTTCTTGTTTGCCGTATTATTACTCCATTAAAAATTACCCCCAAACTTACACACATTTCTTATCTCAAAGTTCCCATTGGTCAGGAATTTAGAAGCAGCTTAGGTGGGTGATTATGATTCAGGGCTTCTCATGAGCTTTTAATCAAGATGTTGGTTGGGACTTCAGTCATCTGAAGGCTTAACTGGGCTGGAGAATCTGCTTCTAAGCTCACTCACATGACTGATGACAATGGCCTCAGTTCCTCACTATGTTGGCCTCTCCACTGGCCTGTTCACCACATGGCAGCTGGCTTCCAGAGACAAAGTGACAGGACAACTGAGACAGAAGCTGCAGTGTCTGCCATAACGCAACCTCAAAAGGGACATACTATCACACTGACCTTATTCTATTGTTCACACATATCAACCTGGTATATTGTGTGAGAGGATTATACACGGTGCAAACATTAGGAGGTAGGGTTCACTGGAGGCTATCTTGAAAGCCAGTTACCACATTTGTTAATTAATCTATGTTGGACTGATGGCAATGCTACTCAACAAGAGATAATGTATATCTAAACTACTTCTGTGTTTTAATAGCACTCAGAGAAAACAGTCTCAAATGATAGGAGTGATTTTAATGCAATTTCAACAAGCTTGGACATTCATTTTTAAAAACTTTTGTCTCAAATGCAGAAAATTTGCTTTTCAAAATTTGTTTTCAATCCTTTACTGACTTGTATCCATTTCCAATAATTTATCCAGCAAATTTACAGTTAAATCTAAAGTGACTTCTGGTTTTAAAAAATTGATTCCTCATCTATGAATTTCTTACCCATGGATTTTCTTGTGATAGAAAATAAAAGTGTCCTATCAAATGTCTAAGGTATTTGATTGTAACTTTTTCAAATGTGCAATATCAAGATCACCATCTACTTTATTGATAGTTGTTACTATATTGTTGTACCATTTATAACAAGCTAAGGTAACTTTCTCCTCAAATATCCAACTTTCATTTTTGTCATCTGATCTTATCTGCCATTGAAAAGCCTTCTGGGCTCACTGCAACCTCCACTTCCTGGGTTCACACCATTCTCCCGTCCCGCCTCAGCCTCCCGAGTAGCTGGGACTACAGGCACCCGCCACCATGCCCGGCTAATTTTTTGTATCTTTTAGTAGAGACACGGTTTCACCCTGTTAGCCAAGATGGTCTCGATCTCCTGACCTTGTGATCTGCCCGCCTCAGCCTCCCAAAGTGCTGAGGTTACAGGCATGAGCCACTGCGTCCCGCCTAATTTTTCTATTTTTAGTAGAGACAGGGTTTCACCATGTTGGCCAGGCTGGCCTTGAGCTCCTGACCTCGTGATCCACCTGCCCTGGCCTCCCAAAGTGCAGCGATTACAGCATGAGCCACTGAGCCCGGCTGACTGAAATTCCTTCTTTGCATGGAAAGCTAAGATCACTTAAAAAATAAACAAAGAATGAGGCTATCAGACAATAAGTCTAACTCACATATTTGAAAAGCTGGGGACCAAACTGGTTTCTTATCTTGCAAAAACACCAAGAGTTCATCCCAAAGTTCGAATACTCTTGACTGAAAAGGTTGCTTTGAAGACCAATGTACACCCTAGCATCTGATAACAGTTGATCAGCTAACTCCCAAACTACAGTATTTAATTTTTTAGAAACCTCAAATTTAATGAATTAGTGTTTAATAATTCACACTTTCAGTGAACTATACTGTGAATTCAGCTGATATAGCAAGAACACCATTTAGTTCAGCTGACAAAGCAAGACTTTCTCAATGAAAGAAGCAGGACACCGATTTACATTCTGGTACAAGCTTCAGCATGTTTTTCTTATCACTGTGCCTGCATAATTAGAAGATACTCCTACAAAAGTAAAGCAAAACTCCAAACCACATTTGCTGATACTGTAACCCTTTGCAAGTGTTATATAGTTTAGAGCAAGCTGTATTTGTCAGCAATGAAGGTGAAAAATAAATTGTTACTTCCTATGTTAGCAAAACCAATGTGTTCATCAAATTGTAACAAAAATTCCTTTGCTATCCTTATTTGTCTGAGAGTTAGTTTTCCATATCACCATCCTGTCCCTAAATACATCAAGCTATGGTGTTGCTGGAAAGTGGTACGGGAACTATCTTCTTTACTACAGATTCATCCAGCATTTCCAAGCAAACATATTTTGTCTTGTCATTTGTATGCATTTTTTTTTTAATGTTAGCAACCTCAGGTGAGACTATCAGAAACCCCAAAAATACTAATGAATACATGTGAAATCCTGAACATCTGCTCCAGTCATCTTTGTAATATTCTTTCAAATAATGAACTTGGTTTTGAACATATTTGATGAATTGGTTTTGAACATGTCATGCCTACAACTACCAATTAAATTTTGATCATTTTATATTGTTTAAATAGCCAGTGTACCTCTAAACAACCCGCTTTGGTTTTAGCACTTTGTCCATCAATTATGGCTAAAAACTAAACATAAGACACATAGTACTTTCCAAGAAAACTAGTACAAATTCTTTTGATTTGTATCTCTTTGAAATTACTTCCATCATCATCATCATCTGGTTTACTACTGCTATCGCATTCAAAAAGGTGTATCTTTGTCAATAAAGTCCAGTAAAGCTTGTGTTGTCATCAGTAAATCAGACTTATAAATAATATAAATTTTGCTTCCAGGATTTAACTACTACTTGTAAAAGATAAAATTCAAAAGAATGAAAAAGAGTTTTACATTTTTAAATTACTATATATTTTTAAATTATTTATGGGACAAGAATAATTAAAATTAATGAGATTTTTAAAATAAATGCTTTGTTTTTTGGCAGGGGATGCGGGGGGATACAGGGTCTTGCACCGTCACCCAGGCTGATGTACAGAGGTGTCATCATGGCTCACTGCAGCCTTGAAACTTCAAAACTCCTGGGCTCAAGTGATCCTTCCACCTTAGCCTCCCAAGTAGCTGGGACTACAAGCATATGCCACCATACCTGGCTAATTTTTTTTTTTGTAGAGACGTGTCTTACTATGTTGACCAGGCTGGTCTCAAACTTGTGGCTTCAAGCTATCCTCCTGCCTTGGTTTTGGGATTATAGGCATGAGCCAGCCACATTTTATTTAATTCTTATACATTTTAGGGTTACAAATGACTAACTTCAAAATGTCACACATTGTAACAGTCCTGCTGTGCATGATTAGCATGCAACTCACCACTGCACGTGAACAACTCTATATCCTGTTCACAGAGTAATCCACTGATCATGCACTTGGATGTGATGATGACAAGTCAAAATGCAATTCAAGTTGTGAAATGCTTATTCTCAAGTTCTTTTCTTGTCTTAGATTGATAACAAACAGTTCAAGGACTACACTTTGGGTACCACTATGTTAAGAGAAGGTTGAAACTTAAAAAGGAGGAGAAAAATGTGCAAAAACCTAGAAACTGTAGCCCATTTGAGAAACAGAGAACTCCAATATGGCTAAAGCATGGAGTGTAAACTTAAGAGTAATAATAAATATGAGGGTGAAAAAGCAAGCAGGAAACCTGAATTTTTTTTGTTGTTGTTTTTTGTTTTTTGAGAGACAGGTTCTCACTCTGTGGCCCAAGCTGAAGTGCAGTGGACAATCATAGCTCACTGTAAACTCAAATTCCTGGGCTCAAGCAATCTTCCCACCTCAGCCTCTGGAGTAGCTGCATGTGCGACCACGCCCGCTAATTTATCTTAATTTTTTTTTAGAAGTTAGGTCTTGCTATGTTGCCCAGACTGGTCCTGAAGTCCTGGCCTCAAGCAATCTTCCTGCCTTGGCCACCCAAAGTGCTTAGAGTAGAAGTCTGAGCTACCACGCCTGGCCCTGAAAGTTATTTTATGGAAGAATTTA